ATTTTCTCTTACTAAAGTGCTATCCCCAGGCTGAGCGTTTTACCCAATTTATACAGGACAAATAGTTCCCATAATGCTCATTGCACAATACAATATTCTACTCACATAGTTGCTCTATCATTTCTTTTAATTGCCAGAGAAAACATATGCACCCTAGAGAGAAAGAAAGCACCGCCAGATGAGGCCTAGTCATGTTGCATTCTTTTTGCTCCACTTCCCCATCCCATTGGGATCATGGACACACTAGCAGAAACACTTGGCTTGTTTTTTAAGACACAAGGGCCTGGTTTTGAATGTCAGTCATGGGGGAGCCAGCTACCTATGCAAAACACTTAATCACTGTGCTACAGTGCCTGCCCTATAAATGCTTTTTAAGTAACTGAAGCATTTTACAAAAGAAAGACAAAGGTAACAAAAATATATGTAACAAATATATGAAACAAAGCTACTTATTAAGTTCTAAATGGTAAAAAAGAGAGAGAGAGAGAGAGAGAAAAGTAAGAAAACTAATGACAAGGAAGTTTAGACATTATAATACTTCAGGAATTTCTTATGGTATCTCTTCTAAGAAATTCTAAGAAAATATTCTTGGTGTGAAGAAAACAAATAAAAACATATCTGTAAGTTAAATTATTTAAATGAGATATTCAGAAAACAGTGATATGAACATTTACCTCTACACAAATAGCATGCCATTCCTTCTAAGAGTTTTATGTCTCATATAATATTTTTAAGGTACAGCTCTAATCATTTTATGCCCCTGCTAAAAAGAGTCTGTGTGTCAGCACTGCTTATAGAACAAAGTTAAAACTCATTCTGGCATCTGCATTCACTCTCAGTATTGCATATCTTAGTTTACTAGTGTTTTTCTTCAATTATAAAAGACATCTCACAATTACGTAAACATATCTTTGCATTTTTTTTTCACTTCCTGGTTTGGTTCATGCTATTCCATCCTGAACTTTTGAACTTTTTTTTTTTTTTTTTTAGTTTTTTGCTGTAGGGAACATGCACTTGCCATAGAGAGACAGAGAAGAGAAAGTGAGAAATCACCTGGGGAGATGTAAACGCCACAATCCCCTTCTTCCATGTCCTTCTCAGGGTTTTAGACACACACAAACACATGCTTGATATGAGTTTCAAGTCACCAGGTGTGGGACTCGAACCTTGGTTGGCCATGTGTGAGTTCAGCACTTTAACTACCACACCTCCTGCTGGCCCCATCCCAAACATTTTTTACCCATTTCACAATGCCCCTCAACCATCACCCACTACTAGCATCTACTGGCTGAAATCCAACACAAAATGCATAGACCCAACTATATGATCCTTCTAAGTAATATTTCAGATTGGAACTATGCTATCTATGGTCTAAGATCATTTCAAAATTAATTTTGTCTCCATTTTCTCATGAGACACTATCTGATTCATCTAACGATGACTTGTGCCTATATCCATACAAGTGTACTGAGGCTAAAAGTTGTGTCTTGTCAATGTTGTTTTTTTTTCTTTATTCCCTACAGTCAATATCAGTAACTTAGATGTAGAAATTGCTGAATTAATATGCATTAGTCAGAAGTAGAAAAGGCAAATCACATAGTTTTCCATTTGTATAATGAAAAAGAACAAAAACAAAAGTGTTTAATTTTATGAATATTTTACAATGACTATATGCCTACAGTACTGCTTAAAATTCACATACAAAAGAATTTTATTCTAAATATCTATAGGATATATATATTACAGGAATGATAACTGTAGCATAATCCCAATGGAATTAAATGTATGGGAAAAAATGATAAAACATCAAATGTTAAACAGTGGCTATCTTCAGTTTATAGCATAATGAATGAATTCACTTTGCTCTTTATTTTTACATTTTTAATTTGTCTACAATAATCATCTGTTACTTACATAGTCGGGGTGTAAAAGGTTATTTGAAATTATCCACATAAGATCCTGTGTCTTTGGAAACTATGCCTGAAAACTGGAACCATTCAGGTGCTCCTAATGTTCTGGGGCAGCCCAATTAGTGTTGGCTGCTCTTCACTGGCCAGGTGCCCCAACCTGTAACTCATTTAGGCTCTTAACCTTTTGGAACATCTTTCCTTACCCTTTGGACTTTTGCCAGCATAAACATGGGAGAGTCGTATTACCTTGACTACCTAAAAGGCCAAGGGATAGCAGGGAAACTCACAGCACCTGTTTATTCTGCATGTTTATTCTATTCACAATAGGAAGACATGGAATCAACCCGAGCGCCCCAAAATAGATGAATATGGGGTCAGTAGATGGTGTAGCAGGTACATCGCTGGACTTCCACATGGTTGACCATCATTCAAGTCCTGGACCTAGGTACGTGTGCATGTCTGCCAATATCCCAGGAAGAGAAGGGATTGCAGTGTGGCCATCCCTCCTAGAAGGTAATTTCTCACTTTCCTCTCACTATCACTGCCTCTGTCTTTCTCTCTCTGTCTCTCCCTTTCTCCCTCTCTCTCTGGCAAGTGCATGTGCCCGAAGGCAAAAAAAAAACCACCAACAAAAAACCTCTTCAAAAAAAGTTGAAGGAAGGAAATATATATATATAATGGAATATAATTCAGCCATTAAAAAAAAAGGTAAGATCCAGTCATTTGACACAGCATGGACCAAGTGGAAAAAATAATGCTAAATGAAATAAACCAGTTACGGTAAAGCCCGATACCGTAAGTTCTTGGTCATTAGTGGAAACAAATTCAATTTCTTAGATGAAGAGACTTTAACTTGGACATCAGGAGCTGGAAAGGGAGGAGGATGGCAGGGATGGCAAAACCTTAGCTACCAGAACCAGAGGGCAGGTAGATAAGTAGAACGAGTTCTGGAATACTACAGTACAGCAAAATAATGATAGCTGGAGACAATTCAAGGCACACTTCAAAACAGAGGAGTGGATTCTGAATGTGCACAACACAAAGAATGATAAATGTTTGTGATGTCCTAATGTTTATTGCCTTGATTTGACCATTTCACAATGCACACTCTACACACTCTACCCCATACATGTATACAACTATTCTCTAGCAACTAGAAATTATAATAATAAAATCAAAACAAGAAACAATAAAAAGCTGTTTTGAGTTGAAAGGCAAGTAATGTGGGTTGTGTGTTTATAATTTCATATCAAGAAAAAATGACTTAACTCCAAGTTTAAATTAATACCAGAAAGTTGACTAAAATATGACATTTCCTTGAGGAATAAGTTTTACATTTTTTCAGTGCCTAATGCTATTATATTTATTATCTATTTGCTTATTTCTCAGAAGTGGCACAGGCTATAAGACAAAACACAAAATTATTCCACTTTTATACATAAGTCAAATTAATTATTTCCTTCACCTGGAAGAACATACTGAAAATAAAGTTGATTACAAATATTGAGAAATTACTCCTAGAATATTGCCTAAAAAGGTTGATATTGAATAAGCAATTGGCTGGAATAAAATCATTTCAGAATGATGCAACTAAAGGAAGTTTTGATAAAAATACATTTAAGATTTACGATGTAAGAAAGGGGCCGATATTTCTGATCATCCTGATGACTGATACACACATAGTATAAACCAATTTTCACACAGCACAAAGCAGGTTGTTCTCTGCAGGAGTGTAATAGGATTTGGGAGCAGAAGCCACCGGGCCCTATTCACTGACCTACAAGCCAATTCTCATAGTTAAGCTGCTGCAAAGTTTACAAATATACAATGAAAAGACTAATTTTTTTTTTTTCAGAGCTCAGGTTCTAGTTCTAAATGAATGGATAATAAAAGATATTATCAGTATCTTATTTATCATTTCAGTTTCTTGCCTAATCAAATCAATCTGGCATTAAGGAAACCTTCATTAGTATGACCATACAAGATAGGAACATGGGGCCAGCAGCTGGTGGGGTGGTTAAGGCACTGGATTCCAACATGGCCAATCGCAGTTCACGTCCAGACCTGGCGGCTTGCTTTCTCGCTTTCCCTTTCTCTCTCTCTCTCTCTCTGTCTTTCTCTGGTCAAATTAAAATAATAATAATATTATAATAACAAATGGAATTAAATAAATAAATGGTTCTTTTTAAAAAGATAATGAACAGAATTCAAATGTGTTTGTTTGGTTTAAATATATAGTGTATTTAAAAAGTAAACATCAACTTTCAAAACTAACACAGGCAATTGGCTGTACATTACTCTTTAGGTCATAGAGAACATTGTGATGAAGAAAGAAGGGGGGGAATTATTTTTGAAAACTGATATTTTATTTTAAAATATACTATATTGTTTTTATCAGTCCCTTTCTCTGGTCAAAGTATTCCCTTTTGGCAAAGAAACTGCTCCTTCCCTGACTTAAGGCAAATGGACCTAACTGGGGCTGCCAGCTTCAGCATCTCAGCCTCAGAGGCCACGTAGCCAGTGGTCCAAGGTGGGCCTGGCATATCTCACTCCTGACACTGAAATTGGTAGAGAGGGTGGGACTAGAGAAAGGTGTGTCAAGATTGTTCTCTAAGCTTTTCAAATAGGACCTGGATAGGGTGCCAAGGTGTGAGAGTTGAAGGGATGAAGAGCGTTTTCCTCTTAGATGGTGAATGGATGTGTTCGTGAGTGGCAGCTGCTGGTAGCCAGGTTTCCTACCACCTGTAAGAACATGGCCTGCAATAGAGGATAGAATTTGAATTTCAGGCCACATGAGCAAGTGTTCAGAAAGTGTGGCTTAATTTTTTTTGTGCAACATCCTTTAGCTTCTTCTTCTTTTTTTTTTTGGAGGGATTTTTGCTATAGGGCACGTGCACTCGCCAGACAGACAGAAAGAAACAACATAGAGACAGAAAGCGAGAAATCACCCCCCAGGGGGGATGGCCACGCCACAATCCCTTCTCCTCCATTCTCCTCTCAGGATCTTGGGCACGCACGCACACGCGCCCGGCGTGAGTTTTAAGCCACCGGGTCCAGGACACGAACCGCGGTCGACTACGTGAGAGTCCAGTGACGTAGCCATTACGCTAACTGCTGGTTCCCAACATCCTTTAACTTCTTCAAATAGGATCCCATTTCATCAATGATAAAAGCAAAACTTCAATGAATTCAGTTTCTGTTTTTTTCTCTTGAGTTCAAATATAAAAGCAGGGGACAGCAGGAAGGGAAGGAAGGCAGGATCCAAATAAGCAAAGGTTCTAATCCTTGGTCGTCTGTTGGATTTGGCATCTGACTCCTGATCCTGTCTAATTTTTCAGGTGTTGATCTGCACAAATTCATGCCAAACATCACCTCAGAATCAATGATTCTCCTTGCTTGTCCCCGATGCCATTTTGAAGTGCACTGAGAAGTGTGCACCAAGATCACTCTGGCCTCTGGGCATTTGGGGTGAAGCTTTTCAAGGCCCAGCATCAGGTCTATGCTACACCTGGGAATTATTCTCTTGGTTCTTCCTCTTGCTGAATCAGGTTGAATCTCTATGAGGCTGCTACAGGTTTGGTGGTCTTCCTCCATTCTGCTCTGTGCTACCCATGTTGCAGAGAACACCTGGGTCTTTTTTCCACCCCTAGCTCTATCTAGTTTAAGGGGAGTAGTTCTTTCTACTCTGTGATTCTCAATGCCACTCTCACTCATTGGCAGTGTTCGTCGCTCCTCCCCCACAGTAGGAGATATACGATGGGAATGTCATAGTTTACTTCAAAGGTTTTGTTTAAATTATAGATGGGCTGTACTTAATATGATAAAACACGTTCAGTGTCAAACACCCATCAACACAAATGCTCAGTCCCGACGAGGTGCAGGTGGGACACCAGCTTGAACTCTCTCTGCTTCTCTCGTGGCTTTTCTCTTTTTCTCCTGTGACAGCCTGAACTCACTCCTGTTCAGCATTGCTGAGACTTAAAACACAGGGTGCTACAACATCTCCTTCGGTGGCTGTGGACACAGAAATGCTGATGAGTAGTAGAGGGTCATAGGGTCAATAAAAGAAATAGTTGGAGAAAAACATATCAAGTCATCAAAACAGCCATGGTATGGCATACTGATAGACCCTGCTATTGGGTAGACCCAGGTCACATGGGAGGCCCAAACGGATTCCTGGCCCACCACAAAAGCTAGAGGTAATAGCATGTTTCTAGTCTCTGCCACTCAGGATGCTAAGAAAAGAAGGTCAGAACACTGCAAGACTCTATCCAGAAATAAAGTATAAAATAATAAATATTCCTGAATAGAGGGCATGATGCCCAAAGGAGCAGAGCTCACATGAGGAAAAAGTGAATTCTGACTGTTTGTAACTCCTAGCCCCAAGCTCTGAGTCTCTCCCGAGGTTGCTGCTCCTGCCTTCCGGAAGTTCACTCGATCAATTCTTTGTTTAAGTCTGTAAACTACCTCAGGATCTTTCCTCAGTTCCCTTCTTCAACTTAAGCTGCTTCTAGCTGTATTTCTGTCACTTGTACATTATAGAATTCTACCCAACATAATAGCTTAACCAAAAGAAGGGAGTTTGATGTCATAGAAGCAGGAAGATTTCGGCAAATAACAATAAGAACAGACAACGCATATGGTTTTCCTCAGAAACCCCGAAATCACCAGTGACCTTCTCATTTCCATCTCTGCTTGTCCACATGGGTGAGTTTTATTCCCTCTTAGTGAAACTTTCTCCATGAGTGGATAACATACAGCTGGCCATGCTCAGGTTTTCCATAGACGAGTTTCCACCACCTGATAAAGGAAGAAATAAATTGGAGTTCCAAGTTTCTATTATTTTTTTTTAGCAGTAGAAATGTAAAGAGAAATAAAATTCTTTGGTTCTTCTTCCATCCTATGTGGACAATAGATTATATTTGAATGATAACTGTTAAAAACATTCCTCTTTATGACTAACCAATTAGGTTCTTTTAAAATTCTCTCATTAAGGTGTATAAAAGAAAGAATGAGTTTTAAAAGATTACTTTGTGCCTTTTCTTAAACTATATCCAGACAAGAGAAAATAATGAGAAAAAAGACAAAATATGTTTTTAAACAAATGAAACTAAAAAACAATCATGAATGACTGCATTTGTGGTCAAAATGAAATATTATATAATATAACAAAAAAGAATATTATACTCTCCAAATAGAAGAATGTTAAAGTCAAGGGAACAGGACTATGATAAGTATATGCCCTGTGTTCTGTACCTTCCAAAGCACAGGGTACTTGAAAAATTTTGTTTTAATTATAGACTAGCTATAAAACACATTTAATTTAAAGCACCAATAAACACAAATGCCCAAGGCACGTTGCCTAGTGATGGAGTCATCTATAAATGAACTTCTGTCATTATTTATCGTTTTAAAAAAACTTAGAAGAGTGCAAATGAAACATCTCTGGATCCCTCAACATGGAAGTTCTAAGTCACTGTCACCAAACACACACGCCTCATAGAAAAGTCCCTTCAACTTCTCGCTAAAACTTCCCAACGCATTTATCCTCTTCCTGACTCTTCCTCCATCACATCTCCAGTGAAATACAACACAATACTGATTTGTGTTGTTAAGACTCAAAACACAGTGTGCTACCTCTTTATGTGTACTAATGGACATAAAAAAATACCCACTTTCATTTTTACAGTCTATTCGATTTTCCCGTATACTCTTTGCCTCTCTTCCTGAAGTAGGACAATAAGTTATACAAACAACCAAACCTCAGTAACTGAGTGTCTACCACACAGCCGTTGGCAGCTTTCACCAGATTTGTAAGATTCTTGTGGTGGAATGAATTACAGCCTAATTCCCTTGTGTATGAAAGTTGAATACCCATCAACACCAATGCTTCCCAGACTCTGAATTTCAAAAGTAAAATTCCAAAAATGTGTGGGTAACTAGCATAGGTTTGCCAGCTCTTCCCAATGCTCCCTGTCCCCCGCCACCACCCCCACCAAGGAAGGATTTAGAAAAAGTAATGTTCTCTACTATCAACATCATTTCACAAAACAAAAGGCATTTTTAAGGCCAAAAAGGAAGGCAGAGTATTACCTTAGCAAGGGAGGGAGGGGTCCTCATTCCCAAGAACAAAGAGTTAACAACTACACACTAACAGGAAATAGCACCCTCAAAGGGTTAAACTAAAAATATTTCAATGAAGAGGTATGGACAAAGTTGAAAAAAAGAAAAAATAAGCAAGGAATGGTGAATTACCCAGCAACTAACAACAGCAGGAAACTATTAAGTCTCCTCAACCTGAAAGATACAGAAAATAAACATATTTCCAGGGAAAGGGATCCCTCAACATGGAAGTTCTAAGTCACTGTCACCAAACACACACGCCTCATAGAAAAGTCCCTTCAACTTCTCGCTAAAACTTCCCAACGCATTTATCCTCTTCCTGACTCTTCCTCCATCACATCTCCAGTGAAATACAACACAATACTGATTTGTGTTGTTAAGACTCAAAACACAGTGTGCTACCTCTTTATGTGTACTAATGGACATAAAAAAATACCCACTTTCATTTTTACAGTCTATTCGATTTTCCCGTATACTCTTTGCCTCTCTTCCTGAAGTAGGACAATAAGTTATACAAACAACCAAACCTCAGTAACTGAGTGTCTACCACACAGCCGTTGGCAGCTTTCACCAGATTTGTAAGATTCTTGTGGTGGAATGAATTACAGCCTAATTCCCTTGTGTATGAAAGTTGAATACCCATCAACACCAATGCTTCCCAGACTCTGAATTTCAAAAGTAAAATTCCAAAAATGTGTGGGTAACTAGCATAGGTTTGCCAGCTCTTCCCAATGCTCCCTGTCCCCCGCCACCACCCCCACCAAGGAAGGATTTAGAAAAAGTAATGTTCTCTACTATCAACATCATTTCACAAAACAAAAGGCATTTTTAAGGCCAAAAAGGAAGGCAGAGTATTACCTTAGCAAGGGAGGGAGGGGTCCTCATTCCCAAGAACAAAGAGTTAACAACTACACACTAACAGGAAATAGCACCCTCAAAGGGTTAAACTAAAAATATTTCAATGAAGAGGTATGGACAAAGTTGAAAAAAAGAAAAAATAAGCAAGGAATGGTGAATTACCCAGCAACTAACAACAGCAGGAAACTATTAAGTCTCCTCAACCTGAAAGATACAGAAAATAAACATATTTCCGGGGAAAGAGGAGAGCTGGAGTTGACAGGAGTCGGAGTTGCAGCAAATACAGCCACTACCAGCATCGTGATGGGCAATAGAAGACTAGAGCTACACATATATCTATCTCCTCCATTTTGCCCGAACCAACCATAACTTAGGAGGTGAAGGGGCCTTCGGATTGCTCTTGAAGCACAGGATAAACTAAAACGGTGGAAAATGGGACTGCAGTGGGGGTGCAGGAGAGTACACTGCTATGCTCTGGTGAGAAGAGCAGGGATTAGTTACAGAAAGGGTGTATATGTGAAGGTATTATTTTTTCCATTTCAATTGCAGGAAAATTACAAGAGAAATTTTAAGATATAATATTGCTTGTAATTAGACACTCGAAACCTTTGTCAATTAGTGGTTCGATAGCTAATCGTGTAACATCAAGTGGTGTTCAAATGGACAACGTGTTCTAGCACTTTATTTTTATCACGCTAGTTATGAAAAATTCAACTTCACATAGGTATAAAATAGAAGCAAAACACTCAGCGCTTCCATTTAGTTAGGAACATTTCACATGAATTAAGCAGTGCCAAAATATAACTGCCTCCATGGCTTAGCGATTTCTCCTGTCCCAGAGGTTCCCAAATTTTACTGCACATTAGCAGGTGGCATCTTTAGAAAATACCAATGCCTGGCTCCCAAACCCAGACCTTCTGATTCAATGGGTATGGGGTGACACTTGTCATAGGAAATTTTTTTCTAATCGCCAGAGGACACATGAACTCTCCAGAGAAATAGAGAAAGCAACCCCAGTAAGGTGTAGTCATGTGACAATCCTTTTCCTCCATTTCCCCCTCTCGTCAGGATTTTGGACACACTCGTATATGTGTCCAAACACACTCACACATGTGTTCAGAATGTTTCTCAAGCTGCTAGGGCCAGGATTCGACCTGTAGTCAGCCATGTGGGATCTAGCTCTCAATGCACAGCACTTAACCACTGCTCTTCAAGGCTGGCCTTTTAATAAACTTTTTATTTTAGAGGAGGTTCCAGATTTACGAAAAAGTTGTAAAGATAATAGCTTCTATACCTCGTACCAATCTCCCATGTTATTTTTAAGATGTTTTCCATGTGCAAGACAGACAGAAAGGAAGACAGAGGGAGAGAGAGCATCCCCAACAGTGTTTTTGGTTTCTGTTTTTGTTTTTGTTTAGAAATTGCTTTTTGCCTTAGGGTGTGAGTGCTCACTGGAGAGAGAGACAGAGACAGTAAGAGGGAAGTAAGATATTAACCCCCTTGGGGGGTAATATGTAATATGTACCATGCCACAGTCCCTTCTCCTCCCAGGATTCTGAGCAAGTACACATACACGCCCAGTGTGCGTTTAAGCCACGGGTCTGAGACTCAAACCACAGTCCATCATGTGAGTCCAGCAGCATAGCTGCTACACCATGTTGGTCCCACCCAAAGGAGACTTGACACTGTAATCCACCCCCCACCCCAGACTTCAGCCAACCCCAGATCATGGGCAAGCATGTACCTGGCATACTCAGGGAGGTCTTGAACTTGAACTATAAACTGTCCCATGTGGGACTGCCTCAGAGCATCACGTGTTAATCACTGCAATACCATACAACCCCTCTTCTAATATTTACATCCACATTAATACAGTGCATTGATCACAATCAATAAACCAATATTACTACATATATTTTAACTAAAGCCAATGTTTCATTCTTCATGTTTCATTAGTTTTTGTTTTATATTCTTTTTGTGTTCCAAGATCCCATTCAGAATGGAGGATCTCCCTCCCTTCCATGGAGTCAACATGTCTCCTTGGGCTGTTCTTGAGGATCACAATTTTTCAGACTTTACTTGTTTCTGATGGTCTTCAGAGTTTTGAGGAGTACTGGTCAGGTAGTTTATATAAGACCCTTCAATTATGATTCATCTATTTGTTTCTTGTAATTGCACTGTGGTTAAACGTTAGGTGGAAAGGAAGACCACAGAGGTAAAGTACCATTCTCATTACATCATATCAAAAGTACCCAATATCAACATGACTTACTACTATTAATAGTGACCTTGACCACTCAGCGGAGATAGAGTTTATCAAGTTTCACACCTTAAAGTTACTTTTTTTTTTTTTTAAGAGAGTGAGAGAAAGACTTTTGCTGTAGGGCACATGCTCTCACTGGAGAGAGAGAGAAACAGAAAACAATGCAATACTTTCTCCTCTGCTCTCCTGTTGGGGGTCTTGGGTATGCACACACATGTGCCTGGTGTGAGTTTTAAGCTGCTGAGTCCAGGACTCAAACTGCGGTCAACAACTTGCGAGTCCAGTGCCATAACCATTACACCATCTGCTGGTCCCTAAAGTTACTCTTTTCCTCTTTTCCCTACTGTATTCTTTGGAAGAAGGTCACTCTGCACAGCCCACACTTAAGGACTATAGAGTTATGCCAGACTCCCTTAAGGATGGAGAAGTTACTGAATCATTTGTAATTCTTCTGCACAAGAGATCCATCTTCTTTCCTATTTATTTCCTTATTCAATCATTTATTTATATCAGTGTACATGTATAGGAATATATTTTATATCCTGGATTATATCCA